ATTGGCACTCATAGCTGAGGTACGGCAGGTAGGTATGCTTTACAGCAATGCCTCATGGACATGTGATAAAATAATCTAAACCCTCTCACCTCCTGCCAGGTGGAGCTGTACATACAGAGTAACTCAATCTAATTGTTGCAGGCACTGAACAGATGGGGTTTTACAGCCTCAAGTGCTGGGTGTGCATGAAAGAGCAATGCCAGCAGGATTCTTGCCCCAAACAAAAGCTTGCTGAAACGCAGCTTGCTGCAGGAATGCAGGCTGCTGGCTGGGAGCTTTTGCACAGGTCTCAGCAACCAGGAGTGTGACAGGGAAGTGGATAGGTCGTTTGTTCGTTTTGGTCCCTGGGTGTAATTTACTTGCTGCCTTATGCTTGAGTGGTTTGCAACATACTGCACAGTACAACACTGAGCCTGCTTTATTCTGTTGCTTGAAAACACTGTAGAGGCAATTGTTCTGACTCCCATTTTGTAAAGAGAGAAGCTAAGGTGTGAAGAGGTCAATATCGGCCAGGTATTAGCTTCTGTGTTCCACCCTAGCAGGATGTAGGAAGAAATGAGCTTTTGTGCTGTCCTGATTGTACAGCAAGTGTTTGGGTACACATCCTTTATGTCAGGCTCTGCATGCTGGGCCAGCAGAGCAGGTGCAAAGACCAGCTTCTTGCAGTGAGTGATAGCTCAGCATTCCTCTCTCCTTAATGAGCTTTGCAACTCTTCTGTTCTTCCTTTAGCCTACTTTCAGCACCTTCCGAGCGCTTAATTTCTCTTCTCAGGACAAGAGGATGGTGTGGTCTTCTGGGACTCTGGAAATGTAGCTGCCATCAAGCAGGAGTGGGTATTAGACAGCTCATCTGCAACAGTGTGATGAGGAGACTTTGGAGGTCACAGAGAATGTGTGGTAGTGCTGCCTGTCTGAGCAGGGTGATTTGGCTTTCCCCCCATTTTTGGACCCAGACCACGAGGTTAGGGCAGGCAAGGTGCACAGCTTACTGCTATGGGTGCACGTGGGCTAGATGGTGTTCTTACAACTAGTGGCAAATCAAACTGAGGAACCAATTAAATCTCTTCTTTCCATGCGTTCCACATCAGTTTTCACAGGAGCCCTGTGCTGTCTGCGCACTGCATCGTCAGAAGTTGTCTCTTCATGTTTCACCCTCAACTTTTCCAAAGGGCAGCACTGTTCTGTTTTTCAAGTGGCTCTGGGCAGCCTGACCTATGTGGTGATTCCCCCACATCTCAACTTCCAGCCCATCCATTTTTGAGGCAAAAGGCCAGCAGCAGTCAGCTGAAGGCTGCTCAGTTGTAGTCATCTCAGGCAGCCAGTGCAGAAACCTTTGGCTGTCAGAGCGTTGCAGTTGCAGATGACAGGCTGCCCTGTGATCAGCTGATATTGCTCTGATCATCTGTGTGCTGCACTCTTCACCTCTGGTTTTCTTTGATCCTGTCTGTCTCCTTTTCCCCAACTCTCTGCTTCTTCATTCAGTGCTTTGGTTTGATTTTTCTTTTTTAATCCTTGGTTTATTTCTAGCTAAGATCTTTAATGACCCAGAGTAAATACAGCACCATTATATTTTCTTTGCCACTGCATTTTTTTTTTTCTCCAGTTTCTGAGCTTTCCCTCTTCTCTTGTGTTTGAGACCATCAGCTCTCCTGGGACGGAGGCTTCCTACCACTGTTTGTACAGTACCAGTCTCAGTGGGACCCACTTTCACTGTCTAATAACATGATTAATACAGCTAATATAAATATATGCTGCTTTGGCGCCCAGGTTCCTAAATCAGGATGGAGCATTTCAGGTTTTTTCCTGCAGTGATTCCCTTCTTCCCAAAGAAATATATGCAGAGAGTAAGCATGCAATATATGCATAAATAAATGCAGGTGTCCTGAAAAAAATACAAGTTCATAAACATCTTTTCATGCCTTCTGGCACCATGGCATCCAGGTAGCTTGATCCCTGAGAGCTGCATGGAGTGATGAGTGTGTTTTGCTGAGAACACAGGCAGGGCTGTTGTGCCACTTTTCCCCCCTTCTGCCTGTTAAACTTCCTTCCTCATCCAGTGATGGTCTCTTCTCTTGCTGGTAACTGAAGTGAGACTCTGTCAGAGGAGGCAGTGCTGTTGGAGTGATGTCCCTCTGGAGCTGCTGAGTTCTCTGCTCCCTGTGCATCTGTGTCCCAAAAGCATTCTGCAGTTTGTCTGACAAATGGCAGGCAGACCCACCAGGAGCTGGGCTGTGCAAATGAGTGTGTTCACCAGCAAAGCCCATGGGACACTGCAGTGTTCTGTCTCCCGGATGATATTTGACCATTTCCTTGCTGTGTTGAAGATGCTAGTGTATTCTGAATACCAAAGGTCTCCTTTCATTTCTTTTCTTTTTTTTTTTTTTTCCATCATTGATACAAAAGTCTGGGAGCACAACCTATCAGAAGTCCTTTGTAAGAGCTTTAACCACTCCTTTTCCTTCCCAGAAGGTACTGTGTACTGGCTGATAGCCCAAAAATCAAGGCAGTGGCAGTGTAAAAATAAAACACTGCCAAGGCTCAGCTATTTGGCTCTGGTGTGCAAACTAATGATGGCAAAACTGCTGTTCTATTGTCCATAAGGGGGAGACTGTGCCTGAAAGCTGTGCTCCCCTGTTGTCTCCATGAGCATGTGCCTGGAGTGACAGCTCTGCAAAGTGAAATTCCAGCTGTTTGCAGCAGCCCAGGAGGCCAGTTGCCTAGAAGCACACTGCAGGGACAGCACAGCTTTCAGGAGATGGAGGAGCAGCAGAGGTGTATCAGAGCAGCTGATGCAGAAGGGCTCCATTACTGCTGGGTGTGGATGGAATTTCTCGTTGCAGGTGTGAGAAGGAGCTGTGCCACATACAGAGCCTGGCCTCCACGGTGTGGAGAACCTGGCTGCACAGAGCCAGTGCTCAAAACAAACCCCTTGTGCTCCTCCTTCCTAGGCAGCCTGCGGGCTTAGGGAAACAGCTCAGGTTGGGAAAGAATTCTTTCTACTGATCTACTGAGAGAGTTCTTTGAACCAAATTGAATGGCTCAACTACTTCTAGTTGCTGAAAAGTTGTCCGTATGCCTCTAGGGAAAGGAGGAGGGAGGCTTGAATTCTTTCTCCCCTTTAATGTCTGTTGTTTCTCACTGCAGCAGCAGCTGGTTGCTGGGCTGGCTCTCCCTGGGTGAATCCCAGCTGTGCTTGCAGGTGCTGCTCCACTAGCTCAAATCCAAGCAGGGATGTGTGAGCAGGCGGCCCGTGCTGAAGTGCTTCACAGCGCTTGGATACAAATGAATGCTAAATCTGTTCCCTGGTAAATGTTGGAACCGTATGAGTGCACTGAACCCCACTGAGCTGCCAAACCTTCTGTCAAGCCAGAAGTTAAGTTGTTGCAAGTCTGCGTTCCCATTTTTTTTTTTTCAATAGCTTGTAGTGTGTCCTGTAGGAGTGTAAATACGACTCCAGCCAGGCATGAAACATGCAGCTTGAAAGCCCTGGTGTTCAGGAGGCTGGGTAATGGAGAGTGTGATCATGACTCACAGGAGCTGTTCTCTTGTTGGGTTGCAATGGGAAGAGGCTGGGCACATCTCTGCCTGCGTATTCCCTCTGTTCTGGAGGGAGAGGTTTTGCAGCAGCCTGGCAGGGCCCTTCTGGGTTTGCTTTGCTGATGTAGCTGTAGAGTTGTGTGAGACTGCAGAGCCCCCTGTGCTGAGTATGTACTGATGGATAGGAGGAGCCAAGGGAGATGTCTGCCCCGTGCTCAGGCTAGGAACGGTGTGATGAATTTGCAGGTTCTGGATTTTTTTTCTCTCTCTTCTCATCCCCTTAAAGAGGTAAGGACGCTTCCAAGCTGATTTTCTTTCCACCAGTTCTGATTATCCATGGAACATCACTTATTCCTGAACTCAGTCACCAGCTCTTAGCAGTGATGAGGTCTTGAGAGAGTGGTTGAAAGCCTTTCTGGCAGGGGGAGGAGTGGGAGGGAGGAACACATTAGAGTGCAACAAAGGGAGCTGCAGTGAGTTTTTGTGCTGATGAACACGAGAGCAAAAGCCCTGACGGCTGCTGCGGTGGTAATTTGGCATGGCAAGTGTTTTCCAGGCACTGTCAGCGCACATCTGTGCCAGCACTGGTGTGGGCTGCTCCCATCATGAGCCCAAACCTCGGCAGTGGATCTCACCAGTGGGAGCCAGGCCAGTTGCATATAGCAGCCTGGGGAGCCCTTACTGTCTGGCCATTCATCTGCTCTGTTGCACCTGGAAAGCATAGTAGAGGAAATATTCCAGCTGCAGCTTTTTGGGTTTTTTTCCCAATTTTTCACCTGTCTGTAGATCCACCTGGAAGGGAGGGAGATATATGTTGTTGCAGTCAGAGACACAAAGCAGAGAAGTGCTGTTCCTGCTCCTGTGTTTGGAACGTTGGCGTATGTTATTGCTAGTGATGTAAATTGAGACTGAGAACTGAAGTCACTGCGGTTGTCAAAGGAGTGGTTGCAATGATGGATGACCACAAGAAAGAGCTGACTGCCATTCTTCAAACCAGGTTGGACAGCTCTTAGTGCAAAAAAGCCACTAATTTCAACTTATCAGGTGGTGAAGTTGCATAGAGCAGAATGTCAGGCAGTGCTGGTTTTGGACAGGATCGGGTGGTACAGTTCCTGAGCGGGATGGGGCAGCACTCTCTAGTGTTGCTTCCATGCTGGAACGGAGCAGTTTGCAGCCTGTTCCCAGCAGGGCAGTGACTCCTCTGCCATTGCCACACATGCAATCCTCAACCTTGTGGAACAAATGGACCCACGTGTGCCTGCGATTGCATTTTTCCAATGAGTGTGCCTTGATCGGCACAGGGCTCTCAGCCTGCAGCAAAGCAAGCAGAATAGTGCATTGAGGGAGAAGCTCTTCTTGAAAGAGCTATGGCTCCATGTGCACTGACTCAGGCTGGCAAGGAGTTTATGCTGCATCCCTGAGCTGCTCCGGAGACCTGTGACAATTTCCCTTCTTTGTTTCAGAGCCATCATCAATCACTTCAACCCAAAGATAGAGTCCTACGCTGCAGTGAATCACATATCTCAGCTCTCCGAGGATCAGGTAAGCCAGGCGTGTGACCCTCTCTTCATTCTGCTCTCTGGAATACAGGTACTGTGGAGTGCCCTGTGCTCACTGCGACTGATGATGTGCAGCAGTATGAGGGCAGAGGTGAGGCTTTCTTGTTCCTTATTCAGATGTGGATGAGAGGAGGACAGACAAGGCCTTAGCCTAATTTACTGTTGCATGCAGACATCTTGGTCCTGTAAATACAGAAGAAAGGGTAAGAATGATAAAAAAAATGAGCTGCACTGTCAGCAAGCGTGGTTAGGAACTGAGAATCCTGATGTGTAGAAAAGGGACAGGAAGCTTTTGGCAGTGAATTTGCATGTTAGAGAGCTGTTGGATATCTTCTGTGATATCAGGCATTTATAACTAAGACAACAGTTGGTGGAAATTTTCTAGGGTAAGTTAATTCCATGTCCTAAGCAGTTGTTTTAGATGGATTTTTTGAAGGAAAAAAAAGAGGTTTAAATAATTTAAAAAAAAAAGAAGTGATATGGTTAGGTTTCCCTTCCTTAATTTGGCCTGTTCTCCACTCTTCATGTCCTGCTTGTATTGCATAAATGTGCAAATGTGGCTTCATGAAAACAGGCTGCTGTGCAGGGTCTCACAAAGGGAAGAGATGGCCTATTTCCCAAAATAAAGTATTTGGATTATATGTTAATCACTCTTGAAGAAGTGAATGACTACAAGAGCTTGTGGTAGACAAAATAAAAAGAGCTGCCATAAAACTGGGGGGAACCATCCAGGGACAGGCAGCCATGTCGGGAGCTCAGGGCCTCCTGGGGCAGAACAGACCTCATGTGAGTCACCTTGGACTGCTGCTTCCATTGATGTAGGGTCCTGTGCTTGTGTTTGTTAAAGGTCCTGACTGCATCTTGCTCTACAACTTGTTTTTTCCCTCTCTCATTCCTCACCTCCTGTCCGGAATACTTTTCATGGTTACTTGATGATATCCTCCCCTGCTTCCTGCTAACCTTTCCATTTATTATCCCACTTGATCTGTAATATATAACACTCCAAAATCTTGCATTGAATGCTGTGCTAATGCAGTGGGGAAAAAAAGAATGGACCCTACTGCTTTTTATTCTCTTCTTAATATAGCTGGCTAGAAGAACATTGGTTTTAATTTACTCAATTTTTCTGTATTGTTCTGCTCTTTTTAGTCACTGTACCCCCAGCTATGCTTTGTGAGGGCTTGTGTTATAAATCCTCATTCATTGATGATCTACTGATTGCATCAACCCAGGCCTCTAAAAAAAGAAAAGCCTTTGATAGCCCAATTTAAAAGGAAGCTTGGATAGAAGGGAATTTTGCATAGTGTTTAGGTTAGACTGAGAAAGGAAACGAGCTTTTCACTGTCAGCTCTGCATAGTTTTCATCCTCCAGCAGTTCAGGGAGGTCAAGTTAAATCCTTTCTTCCCTGTGTTACTCTTTAAATAAAATCTGTAGCAGCAGGCAGATAATGAAATCAGTGCTGATACGTGGAGCATTTTGAGGAAGATGATTAGGAAGTTGAAAGGTGTATTTCTCCTCTTCTTTTCTCTCCCTTCATAGTTTCTCTCAGCGTCAGGAGAACATCAAACAAATCAGAACTGTAAGGGGCCCCAGTGAACTGCAGAGGAGTAACGGCGATGTCACTGTAGAGGGGCTGTGTGGTCTCGGTGAGGGTGTTTAGTCAGCTCTCCACAATTTGCTGCAGAAGGGGAGGACTCACCTCTACTTCTTATGAGCCAGTGAACTCAGGTCCGTGCTTTGGAGTGTGGGTTCCCCTCCATCAGTAGCCATCTCATATGCTGAGAATATGGAAGGTGGTGGTAGATGGCTGAGGTCAAGGCCAAAGTCTGGCTTGCTGCGGGACAACTGAATTTGTTGTTTACAAGAAGTGTTAGTGGGTCAGCTTGGGGTGGGGACATCAAGTTCACCTCTTGGCCATTGCATTTTTTTTTCCCCTTCCAGCTGTTTCTCTGTATTCACTTAATTCTCCTTCCTGGGCTGCCCAGGGAGGTGGTGGATTCACCAACCCTGGAGGTGTTCAAGGAACGTTTGGATATTGTGTTGAGGGGTATGGTTTGGTGATAACTATTGGTGATAGGTGGATGGTTGGATGATCTTGTAGGTCTTTTCCAACCTTGATGTTTCTGTGATTCCCTCTTCTCTGCATAAATATTTTCTACACAAGATTGATCCTTCTTTCCAGTCCTGTTTTCTGAAGTGTGCAGCACAAACATCTAGTGGTGACATTTAAAATGTAATTGGTAGCTTGTGTATCCGCACACAGGTTGTGTTTGGGAATGCTGGCTTTCTCTGTTATTTGTGTAGTTTCAGGAAATTGACACTTATTTCTCTGAAGACACTTGTTTTTACAGTTACAAGGACCAAACTCTTATTTTAACGAAGTTTTCTCTCCCAGAAGCTAACCTTTGGCAGATTTTCATATGGCTGCTCCTATTCCTTTGTGGTATCTGAGAATCTCCTATTAATCAGGCAGGCATGTCTTTGACATATCTCTGTCTGAGAGGGATTTTCTGAGTTGCTTCCAGTTTACTGGAACCTTCACTGCTTGCAGATTTGTGCTTGAGCCTGTATGAAACTCACTGTGCCGTTCCCTGACTGTTCTGGCACCCTGTTCACGTGTTAGATTAACTTCTTAATTTTATTTTTATTTTTAATGTCCTTAAGAGTAGCTAAGTAATCAGCTGAAAGAGGTTTTGTTCCATCTTGTTCTTTTCCTAATCCTATTGAAGGTTTTATTACCTTGTTAATCACTAATGTCCATTTATTACTGTTCTCAGTCTGTCATTTAAGTGCTTTCTCCTTTTTTATTTGTAAGCATTAATGTTAATGTTATTACATGCTGTGGGGATCATAGACCCTTGAAAAAGATGGGCATGAGGCTATTCTAAGGATAGATTGCTTATGAGCCCCTACTGCTGTACATTTTAAGTCCTCAGATCTCTAAGAATCATGGTTTGAACACACTGGTCTGTGCTGCAGACAAGTAGATTGACAAGACCTTATAGCACTGCTTTGCTGACTGGTTTATGCTTTATTCAGCAGTTGCACTGGAAGTACTGGTAAGAGATTCCAAGGAGTGAGCCCATGCCAGGGTTTTGGCTATAAACAGTATGCTGGCACTTCTGGCTCCTGCCTGCTTCTCCTTTAAGGAGATGAAGGATGCTAGGTTGCTGCACAGTCAAAAAGGCTGGCAGTTTTGGTCAATCCTATGTGATTTTAGCTCTTCTATGTAAGTGATTATTCCCAGGTCTTCAAAGACATCTAGGCCACTTCTCAAGTCAAAGGGCAGAATAAGCCTCTGTGCAGTGAACTCATGGGCTTATCTGTGCACTCCAGATGACTGGGCTGCCTTGTACTTAGCTTGTGAAAGGTGCTAGAGTTTTCTCCGTGCTGCATCTGATTTGAAAAGGTCCTAACGTTTTCCAGCAGGAGTAGTTGAAGAGAAGCAGGATAGCGTGGCAAGAAAACAGCAGCACAAGAAAGAATTGCTCTGGAAGAACAAGTGCAGACAAGCAGGCTGAGGACACGGGACATGAATTTGGGTTTCACATCTGCCTTTTCTGGATGTCTAACAGTTATTCTAGAGAGGCTGAAGTGAAAGAGACCCAGTGCTATTTTATTTTTTGGTCAAGTCTTCTCAGAGCAGGAATGTTTTGTGGTGCCTTGCACGCCGAGCAAGTCTTGTGCCAATTTACTGGAGAATGAGGTAGTGAAATTGCTCACAGAGGTCTCATTTTCTCCTTGGCACTTGTTCTCGCTGTGATTTCCACTATAAGGGTCCTGTGTTTGAGAGGGCAGGTACATAGGGCTGCTATACTTGCTAGTCAGAAACATGTCTGTGCTTTTGCTGGCTGAAGACCCTCTCTCTTCACAGCCACAGCAGGGGCCCGATGTTGTTGGAGGCGGTTGATTGAGGTGCCTCCTCAGAGTTGGAGGTGGCATCAAGTTCGGTGTGAAAGGCTGTTGTGAACACCTGTACTGTGTATGTTCGTGTAGTAACTGCAGATGGAAAGTGCTGGGAGCCAGAACAGATTGCAATGGAAGAACAGAACGACTGCATTGGTTTTGAAATTGTGACAAATGAGTATAACATTGGGTCATTCTGCATTGTAATACGTTTATAACTCAGGTAGCTGCAATCTGGTTTGATTAGACAATCTCAAAGAAAGATGCATTTTGTTTTTGAGGTCGTACTCCAGTGTAGGGTGGTCTCTCTGCCTTCTCCCCCTTCCCTGCCCCCCGGTCCACATGGCTTTTAGTTCCCAGGAGGGGCTGCAAGGCACTGATCCAAAGCACAGCTCAGGCAGCCTCAGCTGCGTCAGTGCCTTGCACAGAAAGCCACAGAACGGCACAATTGGTTTTAGATGCCCCAAGGTGTTCTCACTCAGAGCCATTGACGTCACGGTTTGTTCAACCTGCTCTGTTTTCCATAACTAGCAGTAAAAGCACTACCTGATACAAAATGCTTTGTTCTTTCTTAGCGCTGCTGGCAGTGGGGTTAAGAGTTAAAACCTTTTGCTGTGTGTGTGCTTGATGTTTTTAAAATGCTGAGTACCATCAGTGCAAAGTACTACTACAGTAATTCCTCCTAATCTCTTACGTTAATGCAACATGTTGTGAGGGCTCCATAAATACTTCTGAATGTTTTGGACATAATGCTACTTTAGTTCTGAAATGCAGTGAGCTTTGGGGTTGAAAGTATGCAGCTTGCTAGAGCTGTGTTGTGCTCAGCAAGTAGGCATGTGAAACTCCAGCTGAAGGGTCACCGAGACAGAGCCTTCATTTAAGGTCTTCACATCTTTGCCAGTCAGGCAGAGGTGCTGGCCTTTGTGGTCTGTTACAGACACCTACTTAAGATTAGTGGCTTGAAGCAGATTTTATTGTTTAAATGGAAAGATCTGAGCTGTACCAGGTGAAATTTGAATCCCAGCTATTTTTGAAGGGTTCTGTATAGGATTTCTTCTGGAGTTGGCAAATCACCA